ATAATATATGTTCATAATTCTGACTTGTGCTAATTACAGCTGTATTTTTTGGTTGTATATTCCATTAACCCACACATTAGAAGTAATGCATATTTGTTGAGATATGCTTTGATAGTTTTTGCGAGTATGTTTAAATTGCATTCTGGTTGTTCTTTTTTTCTTAAAAATTGTCTGATAAAGTGACCCTATATTAATGTAAAAAAGCACAATTTGGAATAACTGACATTGACCTGACAGAGAGTGCAATGAAAATGCATTCTATTAGTTCTTAGTTGCTATCTGTTTTCACAGATTTGTGTGTGAATATTTGCGTGCTTGGGAAGATAATAAGTGGGCGTGCAAATAAAGAAGTAAATATGCTGATGCATTGTTCTGTAAAACTCCACTGTGACCTAGTAACAAAATAAGGAATTGGCTTTATGTTTATGTGAGTGCTTCTACACGCACATGGGTAAGTGTTGCTGCATGTAAATGCTGATTTGAGACAGAGGGAGATTCAGAGAGGCTGCACTGAAGGAGGAGTTACACTTTACTGAGCAAGAAAAGAAAAAAGTGACAGATGAGTTTACTGGAAAACAGCGCTCTCCTTGTTGTTTGCCCAGACTCCGACTAATTTAGGGGAAGAAGGAGGGGGAGACTGAGGACGAGCTGGAAGCTGACCGTGCAGTTAGAGAGGAAGAAGAAGGTGACTAATACTGACTGCACTCAGCCCACTGTAAGTGCCCCAGTATATCGGGGAGGGGAGTGGCTTCACGCGCTGTAAGCAAAAGCTGGGTCAAGGAAGCAATCAGTTGTCAGTTTCAAACAGCAAAGCGTGGAGGATCAGACTTCACCTGGATTCACTATGTTGTCTTTGGGATAGTAAGAGAACTGCTGGTAAGAATCCCTGGAAATATTTCAACACATTTTGTTTTGTGATTTCAATACAACATTGCTTTTGGACTTAAATGCATTATTGAAACAAGTAGCAAACTGTTTTTATTGAATTGCTAACAACAGTACTGTGATTATACCCATAACTGTTCAAAAACAAACTGAATCCAGACTTGTTGCATCATGAAGACCTATGCAGGTGTTTCTATGGGACATTAAACTAAGCAGCATGAACCACACTTAAATGTCCTCCATACGCTGCGATAGGAGCAGTAGTGTATCTTGTCAGTTTCAATACCTGTTTGTGCATGTTTAGCAACAACAAACGCCATACTTGCTGATGTAGTGCACAGTAGTATAGTTGGTGTTTAACCAGTTTGGTTAGAGTGAAGCATTTTCTGTTAGTGCAGTGGAACAAGACTCTTGATTTAAAGTAATATCCAGTTCTGGAAATTGTGTTATGACATAAAGCTTGTTTTCCCCCTCTGGGCTGCCTGCAGAGGAAGTTGCTTTATTGCTAACAAAACTAGGAGTTGTGAAAACTAATGGGAGAAAAAGGGAAGTGATGCATTGTGGTATTTATTGATGATAACGTTGTATTCAGTCTCTTAATGAGCAGTGCTTTAGTCAGTTAATGCTGGATTTTTAGGCCCTTGTGATGGACCTGAGATCTTCCCAGGGATTACCCCACCTGTTAATGAGTGATGGCTGCTACTGACTCCATCTTCCCCTGCATCCTGCATCCATCTACTAATTACAGTGCTGCATTTTTTTTGCCCTATCTTGAGTTCTGTTTTCACAAGATCTCAGGGTGATCATGTGACGTTTATTGGCATCTTCAGTATGTCATCACTTTATTGACACAAAGTGATGACATTTTTAAATTTGCAGTAACACTAAGAACAGTTTAGTGTTACTGCAAGAGTACCTTACTCTTCCATTTGATTACTTACATTTCTGAGGCCTACATATTTTGTGGCAGCTAAAAGTTCAAATGAATAAAAGAAATGGCAACTTTCTGTTACTCAATCAGCCTTTGTGTTCCTCTTGGTGCACAGAACAAATACCATAACAAACATCGTTTTCATGTTTTCTCTTATGATCTAAAATACCTTTAAAAAGGTGATGCTTTGCAGCAGTGTTTACCCTGTAGCCTGCAAAATCTAGTCCGTGTGTGGTCGATTAGGGGCCTCTTAATTAGTCTTGGATAATCACATCTTTTCAACTCAACTCAGACTTAGGTTTGCTTGTTTTGGCTCTGAAACGTGTCATATTGAATGTTGTGGGCTGTTGTCGATCATTTATCTCTGGGGTCTGTGCTCACACCAACATCTATTGTGTGGATGAAATGCTGAAACCTTCTGCTCCATAAGCTATGCAATCTTGGTTTAAAAACTTTTCACTAAATTATCTTCTCAGTGCTGTGAATCTTTCCAGCAGCTGTTTGAACTCTAAGTAACCGCCAGGCTGGAGTTTGTGTCGGGGTCTCAGAAATTAGGAAACTTAGAAAGGTGTGATCAAATGGGTCACCTTTTTTCTCAAATGTGTTATCAACACATCTATTCAAATACAATTAATCATATTACAATATTTATAAATAGACTTGAAACAGCTTTTCACAACAGGCTTGAACTTTCAGAGTAAAATAAGCCAACTTGACCTTCTGTGAAACATCACCATTTTAACTGGGTCAATGCATAGCCTAAGAATGATGTCATTATTGGGTCCAGCACTGATACCCGCTGTATCAGATTGGGTGCATCTCTGTTTAAAAGGGTTCACTGCTGTATTTCCAGGAAAGCAGAGGCCCTCTCTCTTTAATGCCTGTTAATAGATTGCTTAGAAGCTGACAGGTGAAGAGATTCATACATTGCTATCACATACAGTGGCATATCAAGATGACCTTCTTAGAGCTGGCTACTGAGCTAAACGACAGTAATTAGAGCCTGTTGGGTTGTTCTGGACACTTTCTGCTTCCAGACCATGAGTTGGCAATCAGAAGATGTCTAAGAATGTTTCAGCAGCTTTTGTTCATCAGCCTTTAGTCTCAACCACACCAACAATATGGCGGCACTATTGTTTTGAGTGCTCTTGTCAAACACTCTTTGCATTTTAGAAATGTTTGATGTGTTTGAACAAAGCTGGTAATGTCCGCTGGTAATCTCTGGAAAAGTGCAAGTGTTGAATATAGTTTGAAATAAGATGAGGTTGTTTATTACACAGTGACCTTTTAGATCAGAGGTGTCAAACTCCAGTCCCCCAGGGACTTCTGTCCTGCAGTTTTTAGATGTGCCACATGTACAAAACACTGTAATGAAATGGCTGAATTTCCTCCTCCTTGTGTATCTCAGTTCTCCAGAGCCTTAATGACCTAATTATTCTATTCAGGTGTGGTGCAGCAGAGGCACAACTAAAAGTTGCAGGACACCGGCCCTTGAGAACTTGAGTTTGACACCCCCGTTTTAGATAAATTCTGCCTTCGGTCAGCTGAATGGACATTTACAAAAAAATCATACATCAGCAGCATCAACAAATGTAAAGAATTAATGTTTTGTCAGGAGTATCAAAGTGTACCAAGGTTTTCAAATGTTTCAAAGCCACAAAAAAAAAACAAAACAAACAAAAAAAAAGAATATACATATACATATATATATATATATATATATATATATATATATATATATATATATATATATATATATATATATATATATATATATATATATATATATATATATATATATATTATATCTTACTGTTCCTCTGAAATTGTTTTAGTTGAAGGCCAGACAAAAGTGTATCAGGAACCTCCATTTGCTCCGGTATGGAGCAGAGAATATTGCATCACAATGACTGGCCAAGCTGTTGCTGTGAACTGCTGGTCAGCTGGCTGAAAGAAGATTTCTAGATTAAACCTTTTCTCTCTCTTTTTTTTTTTTAACAAGAAAGTCAAATTAAACTGTTTTGATAAAAGCTCATCAGGCTATGGGACCCATTACAATTATGCATAACGAAATTTTGTAAAATAAGCTTTTGAATCTAGTTCTGAACTTAGCAGGTGTTTATACTTTTTTAGTTTAATGGCTCATTATTATGTGTTTTCCATCCACATAATGCATTCTATAGCACAATCAAGTAACTACGTTTCCTTCAGTTATTTTGAAAAAGCTGCATATATCAAATATGACTTAAAGAAATTTTGACTTATTGAACACTTTCAAATTTGGCCTCTGTCTCTTTAAGAAAGTGATGCTCTTTCCAATACTCTGCCTTCAGGAAGTCGTCACTAGCATTGCACTGTGAAGTAGCTTGCATGATGAACTCAGCTGATGTATAAGGTCCACCAGGTACTTACTATTTGCTGCTGGCTAGTGGGGGAGTCGTGGAGGAGAGGTGCTCTGTAATGCAGAAGCTCCGATCTTCATCCTCTGGCCCACAAAGAGTTTTGTACTGTTGAATGGAGATAAAGGGATTTCTCAAACATGCATGAAAGAATCAAAGCAAAGCTCTGGGTATGTGTTTTGATGAGGGGAAAACATTATGACATAATGTAAAGCTCAAAAAAGTTGATTTGAAATAACACTGCTGCTTTAACTCCATCAACAAAAATAAAAATGACCAAAACAATATGTTATAAATACCATCTTTCCAACTTTGATAATAAATATATTATGCTAATTTAATATAAGTATTGACAAATGTTGATTTTTTTTTAAAATCAAAGCTAAATGTGCTAAAATGTTTGTCTTGATATACACACAATGAGAATCTCATACAGATGCCAACTACCCACATGTTCATGCTTTTATCACGGTCTGCTGCTTCCTTTGCTTCCGCTGTGGAAATTCTTCACTTGTAAACTATTCAAAGTGTTTAACTCACACCTGCAGTTTCCCCTTCTTTAAAACTTTACTGCCTATGCTGTTTTTTTTCTACTTTTATTAGATCAAAACTAATTTATTTTTATCTACAGCTGCTGATTTACCAGTTTTGGTGTTTTTTATGTTTTGTCACCAGTCCCTGGTTTTAGATTTTCACATGTTCTGTTTTTCTCTCTCCTGTCGGACTTTCACCACCTGTCTCCATCTCTGCTTGCTTTGTATTTTCCCTTGACCATCATCCTGCAGCAGCTAGACATGTAGCGAGCAGCATAAACACGGTGTGCACCTCTTCGTGAACTCTTTTCCTCTAAAACAGGTAACTGCTCATATGCCTGTGTACTTTTTAATGTTTGAATAAGCCATCTTAGAAGTCCACCTGCTGGATTTGACTTGACGGCATGTGAAACTGATCGCATCTCTCTGCCAGCCTCACAAATTAGTTTGGCTTCTTCTTGTGTTAGGGTGACATCGGGTCCACAATGTCACACTTCCATTCGTGTCTCCGCTTACTACATCTGGTTTAGTTGCATTTATTGCAAGTTGATAGTTCTGTTGACACATGCTATACCCAAACCGCTCTAGAGAGGGATTACCCATGCAAGCCTATCCTTACATTCATGCCATCATGCCCACTAAACCATACAAAGACCTACACAGATGCATGTGAATACACACATGCATGTAAAAAAAATATAAAAGATCCACCAGGCCTCAGGGGAACAGGGTGTTCCTGAAAAGGAGAACAGAGAGTGGAGAGTTATTTTAGTCTTTAGAACTGCCAGAAGGGCAGCTTAGTGCAGAAAGGCTTTGTTCGTCAGTGATTGTTATGGTGAGAAACTTTTTGACATATACAGACCAAAACTATATCAAAAATAATAATTACAGCTTGGTTTAAAGATAAGAGAGTATTTTTTGTTTTTCACAAAAAAAAAGTCTCAATGAATGTACTCCAAGGCGTTGTTTCACTACACTTGAATGACTATTGTTCTCATTTACATTTCTGTTTCTGTTATCAGAAATGCCAAGAGAAAAGCAGGAACTGAAGTATTTGCTGTTAAATTTTGAATGGACTTGAAAGGCAGATTAATTTATCTTTAATTGATTTTTTTTCTCTTCCTGGTGTTATTATTTCACATCTGATCATAATATTTAGGTTACAGGTTAGCCTAAAATGCAAAAGAAAATATTTTCATTTAACCAAAAGCTTTGTTTCTGACAGAAAATGGGACAGACATATCCCGAAAGACAATAAATATGAAAGGAGTATCAATTAAAAAATGGCTTTTTGCAAGTGGCAATATGTTCACTGGAGGTGAACATATCTTCACCTCCAGTTGAAGAGATATGTTGGTAAAATTAAACAAATTCTTTAACCTAAATCTCCCAGGGGTATAAATGGTGCTGGAGGCAAATCAAGGTCAGTGGTAACTAGTATAATCACACTGTAAAATAAAACAGACTCGGACACAGATTTAGACTTATTTGTTTTAAACGCTCATTATATTCCAGTAGCTACGCTGCTGAGGTTTGATCTACTGTTCTCTGAAGATATTTATATAACTTTAGAGGATTTTCTTCTGCTTGAACTTAAATTCAAAGTCTCTTTCTTAAAATATTATTCTTAAATTACCATTGAATGATTTTTACATGTTTTTTCCTGCATTTCAGGTTGCACACTTTGCTAACTGAGAGTGCATATGCATTGTGTAAGGGGATAATGTGTGTGTATGTATCCTACTTTTAAGTGCTGGCTGTCAAAGAGGCCTCCTTTGGCACTGGACAGTCACATCTAAAAATACCCTTTCCACAAATTAACACCATGTCTCTAAGCACAGGTGCCATGGCCTCATACTTCCTCTGTGTGTGTGTGTGTGTGTGTGTGTGTGTGTGTGTGTGTGCATGAACTTCTGACTTTACGATCATGTACATTTTGCTGAAAAAGTTAGGCTGTCATCATGCAACATACCTAAAGCGGCGCTTTTTGTATTTGCTGCCTATTCAGTGTGTCCGTGACTAACATGCGGCACAATCCATAGCTGGCCTCTGACCTGGGCTTCCTCCGCTCTGCATCCTCCTACTGGCTGTCAGCGTTTGAAGTGAAGGAGGCCATGACATTACAGCACTGGACACACAATAGCTGCTGTGTGCTGCGACTGCGTCACAAATGTCCCCAGTGGTTGTCAGGCAGCGGGAGAGCCCATGTATGGGATCATGCAGTCTGGTAGTAGTGAGTCTCAGTATGATATTAGGAAGCTGCATCGAAACCATGTATGTTAAGCGTAATACAGTATGCCTCATGGCTGAGTCATAGTGGGAGCAGGATATTGTATGATGCAAATGTGTTGGGGAGAGATGCTTTAAAATGCAAACATTGTACACTCTGCCTCCAGCAGCAATTTTATTCATAAAATAAATTAACACCATGGGTAAGAGATCTCTTGAGGTCCTCCTACCATAAATCTGAAAAAGTCTGGAATTTGCCACCATTATCGCTTTCCAGGTCTAGATCATCATGAATGCAGGTTTAATTTTTCTGACCGTTTTTATTCTTTATATGATGTTTTAGCACGTACACTGGTTTTTACATTGTGCTAAATTGGCTTGTTTCATTTTTGATTTGTCATGTGACATTTTCTCCTTTACTGACTAATTTTGACCTCATAAAAAAAAAAAAAAGCAGAACCATTTCACAAACTTTTTTTTTATCTCTAGACAACTTTAAATTGAATTTGATCTGACCGAGTGTTTTCAAAACTGGGTCTAAGCTGCCGAGCACTAGAAATTCAATTTCCATTTTGGTTTTTGTTTCCGAAAACGTCTGGTGACCCCACAGCACCTTAGAGTTATACTTCACAATGTTTTTCTCTTCTAGTGAATGGGGATCCCCTGGTTCTCATTCTGCTACATCTTGTTTACACTGTGTCATGCTGAATTGAAATTATTAAGTGGGAAATGATAGAACTGGAAATTGTAGAGCTGCTTGTAAAAGCTCACATGCAAGGGGAAGAATCAGGCTGACAAGGTTTGTGGTTTTCATTCCCTCCAGTACTTCAGAAAACTTGGCACTAATAGATAAGATGAATCTTTGACTTGAGAGCTCTTAGCTTTGTCACCACTGAATGCGATGCTAAAGGTATTTAAAACCTGCATCAGTTCAGCAGCATTTAGAGACTGATCCTGTACATATATTAGACTGAAATAATGATCCCATCACTCCATGAGCTTCAAGATCTCAGATACAACATGCATTGGCTATTTACTACCTGTGCCACTAATTCTACCCATGCTTGCCAGCTCAAGTCTTTAATTTTTAGAGAAAATAGTAAGGTTCTCTATATTCTACCTTTAATTTACACCCCTCCATTGAGCCATTATGCATTGAGTGTCACATATGGTGTCTGGGTTTTTCTGCGAGATGATTAAATCACATGGCAGCCGTTTGGTTCTTGGTGGGTAATGAATAAAGCCCTCATTGCTGGTTTTGTGTTCAGTGTGATAATGTGTGAGTTTGAAACTTATTTTTGTATATTTTAAGTTAATATCTGAGGTTTAGAAGAGTTTGGTCAGTCTTTTTTATTTAGCAGGTCAAATACAGAACAAAGTAGCTTTGATCTACAAAGTGAAATTGAGAATGTTTATTTTATTGATGCTAATAACCTTTCTTCCTTGCAACATACAATTATTATTCTAAGTTGCAGGTTCAGTCATAAAATTGAAGCTCTTTAAGTTATTTTTTTTGACATACCTAAAGAACTACAAACATTTCCCCTATTGCGGACATGCAGACTTGTTTCTGTATAGTTACAATGATGTGGACACACAGTTAACTTTACATAGTTGGGAGTCCAGATGTAAGGATAAATTCTCATTTGTATGAGATTAAATCACTTCATTGGAGTACGGAGCTATGAGTGCAAAGTTATTGTTTGCTAAAATTCACGTTCTGGTCCAAGTTTGTGTTGGAATGCCTGTGCGTATCAATGTCTTATCTCTGCATGGGTGTGTGTTATTCATGTAGGCCTTCTAACTGGCACAAAGCGGGCAGTGTGTGCCCCCTCGGGTGCTGAAATGTACACTTTGGACAACAGGCGGCTTCAGTCCTTCTCAATAGGAGCTGTCCTTCTTATTGTACCTCACGCACAATGAGCTTTTCTCTCTCTGTCTGTCTTTCTCTCTGGGTCATTCTCTCTTTATGACCATATACAGACAACGTTTTTAATGAAAGATCCGATGAATCGGATTCTGACTGAAGCCGTGCTGTCTATCATTCCCCCGCACATGCTGCATCAGCAGCTGAACGGAGCAGAGGGCAGGCTCTCGTGTCATTATGCTTTTGGGTCCAGGCGGGCTTAGTCATGCAGAGATTAACACAAGTCATCGCAGAAAGGGAACTATCTGCGCTGGGACTCCCCTCTGAATGTTTTGGTAATGTGTGCATGTGAGTAAAGAGGAGGAGATGTGGCCAGGGGGTGATGGGTGTTCCCCCTGGTCTTTAACTCACATGATCTCACAGGGACAACAAGATAACATGACTTCCACATGACCTCCTCTACATGATAGAGGAAGTCTTCTTGGTGGTTAATGTCTCTAATAGAGTGAATGTAAATATGTTTACTTTGGAAACGGTGCTTCCTCTTTTAGGTCATTATACTTATGTGCACATTTGTTTTTGTTTTGGTTTTGTTTTGTCTTCTAGTGACTTGACGGAAAAGAAAATTATTAGAAATCAACACCTGTAGGCATAAAATGCAGTATGGTTGATACTTTTAGCTAGAATATTAAGAAATGATATGTATATAAATAAAACATACTCATTTCTGCTTTCATTACCGAGAAAGAAATAACAGATAATTGCATTCACATGAGATATTTTGTCTGTGTGAAATCAGATTATCCAGGAACTCAACTGAACAGTCAGACTGGTTGTAGGTAATTATATAATGCCAATATAATCTTTTTTTTAAATAGGATTTGCTGCAAAAAATAAGATGCCATGTATAACTTTCCCTCAATATTTATTTAACAATATATCTTGTGCACTCTTTGATTTACAATATAAATCTCAGAATAATAAGCAGGACACAATGCAGCAGATAAAGTGAGGAGGAAAACCTCAATGCTGATGTTTATATCACTTGCAACTCATTATTTTTAAGAACCATAAATAACACAACAAATAAAACTAAATATTTTAGGGCTATAGACTTGGAGTCCCGACTTAAATCTAACAAAGTATGTCTGGTAGTGAAATAGAGACAAAGGTGACTTTGAGCTTATTACCAAAGATGAATGGTCAAAATGCGGTGGACGGATATAAAACCAGGTCAGAAATCACAAAAAGATTTTGCTTGCAGTGATTCCCTTTTCGACTATGTAGACCTTTACTTTAACTCGGAGAACCCCAAAAGACTTGGGACGTTTACAGATCCAACATGTTGAACGACAGGTAGAAATATATTTCATATACGGTTTACTTTTACAAAGCTTCCTGCAGCTTTTATACTTCCTCCAACTTCATTTGTAAGCATGTCATCAGTGAACAGCTGATACAAAACCATCTGTTTTATGTAAAACTAACTTCGACATTGAAGGTCCTCTCCAGTAAGGCCTGAAAGTCCTTATTTGTGGTGAATTTCCTGACTTGAAAAGGGATTGTATTTTAGTTTCTTATTGGTTGACTGTTGTTAATAACAGATCAAAAATCGGATGATTCCAAACTGCAGCTAATTTCTTGATGCATCTCTGATAAAACAGCCTGTTTCATGTGAAACCCAGTTGACTGAAGAAAGTCAGCTAGTGATTGTCATGTAAAACCTTATTGGGTTCTCTACATTTTGTTTAGTTATTCATTTGTTGCAAAATAAGTTTTTATACTGTTCCCACAGTAGAAGTTTCATTTCACTCACTGATTCTGGAGTAAACAAGCCGTCAATACTATTTGTGTATGCTAACAAAAAAATTAAGAAGTGAAAACAAAATGAGACAAATTAACTGGAACTCATGTAGCAGTGCCACTGCAATATAGCACCATCAGCAGTGTGAGAAAGTTTAGCATTTTTTGCTTTAAGATGTGGAAGTACAAACTCTGGCTGAAAATTTTTAATCTGTGAAGTTATCGCAAGCATTTTAAGCTGCCACTTTGTAGGCAAATTGTCTCTTTAAATAGCCCAACATGCTTTTTATCTTGATAAAAACCAAAAGGAACGGTCCCCTGTTCATGATATTTTTTTTATTAACGAACTTTTGATCCTACTGATAAAGATATCTTTTTGCAAAATTCAGAAAGGTTCTACTGCCTCTGTCTTTTTCCCCTCTTTGATTTCCTCCTCCCTTTTTTAATCTCCACTTATCTCCTGCACAGATACCTCTACCTCTCGGGCTGGACTGTGGTGCATTAACGTCGGGTCGCCCTCCCCTGCCGCCTCGGCCCCCAGCGATGGCCTCACGCATCGGGCTGCGAATGCAGGTAAAACACAGTTTCGTTCAAGCATTCAGAAAGTTCCCTTTTAGCGATTGCCATTGTGGTCTTCATCATAAATTTAATTAAGAAATTCATCTGAACAATTTCACTATTCTTAATTGAACAGTAGCTGTGTGCTTTGCAAGAGTATCCATGTTTGCTTAACTGTTTCTGATTTTGTCATATTGCAATAACAAACCAGTTTATATCAAGTGTTTTTTGTAAAGCACATTATGGTTATTCTCCTTTGTAAAAATAAATAAATAACCACCAATCAAAAGTTTTCTATTGCCCCAAAGAGACAGTTTTTTTCTATAATGACCACAAAGCTTCATAAAACTTCCCCTTAATCCTACTCAGCTTCTATGTATCTGCTAACAAAAAACCTCCCCAGAGCATGACACAAGATTTACAGTGGGGATGTCCCATTCAAGGTGATGCCCTAGTGTTAGGTTTCTATTGCAAAAATTATACAGTAACATTTTTGGTCTGATCTGATCAATTCCACTTTGTTGTGTAGATTTGTGGACGAACGCCTCAGTTTGTTGACAACCATATTCTTTCACCTGAGCCTGTAATAATACAGCTCTTGCATGTAGTCATTTAACTATTAATTAGTTAGATGACTAATTAGGCGGTAATTAGTTCCATTGAATTTTGATTTGGAGTTTCAAAGTCCCCCTAAATGCAACACAATTAATCAGGTTTTGTTGTTGAATTATGTGAAAACCAGGTATTATTTTCCAACGCTTCAGAATTTCATGCTCCTTTGTGTTGATCTAGCAGATAAAATCCCAGTAAAATACATTGGGATTTTACTGGGATTTAAGGAGGCTGCAAAATGAGAGAATTCAATGTGTTTAAATACTTTCACAAGGCACTACATATTTAGTCAACCGTTTAGTTTTTTTTTTTATAAAGATGACTATTTTTTCTGATGTAAATCTATAATTTTTCCATAATTTTCTAACACCTTGCTTTACTCTTGGTTTCCTTAAGTATTCTGAGATGTTTGTGTGTGTTTGCATGCAGCTGATGCGAGACCAGCTGCAGCAGGAGGAGCAGCGTGAGCGGCAGCAGCAGCAGCAGAATGTGGCGATGCAATACATGCAGCAACGCATGGCCGGGTCTCCTGCACCTACGCCAGCTATCAGCACTCCGCAGCAGTACCAAAGCATGCAGGTTCCTGTGGAGGTTCTGAAGGTCAGTGAGGCCACAATAAATGATTGTTACCAACCTGCTGTTTTTATATTCAGTGCTCAAAAATCTTTGGAACATATTGATGTGTAGTTGGGAAATATATATTGATTTGTTGTTTGATGAAATTCTGCTTTTTAAACAAATGGAAAATGTTTCACTTATCTACTGGAGAAATTGACGAATCAGTAAAATTATTTGTGGATGTGTTTTCATTAAGTTGTGGCTAGATTAAATTTTTGCTTTTGTGGAAATGCATGACTACTTTTTATTTTGACTTATAAATCGGCAGGGAAAATTAAAAAACAAACACAGATCTGTGGTTTGATTATTTTACTCTGAACAGAATTCCTTCTCTCTCCTTCTACAACCTATTTTTAGAATTGGGCATAACTCATTGGGTCTTGTGTAACCAGCCCAAATATAACATTACAAAAGAAAAATCACTAAACAGATAGCGCTGTCAGTCTGGTTTCAGAGGATTTAATCATGGCTGAATGGGGTGACAGAACGGCACAAAGGAGGTTTCCATTGAGCATTCTGACCAGGAAGTCTGCTTTCTCAGAAACAGGTTTGAGAAAGGAGGAAAAAATAAAAATAAAGGGGAGCAACAATCATGTGAGAAGAAAGAATGGGGAGATAACAGACTTTTGACATGTTTTGTGATTGGCCAGATATGGGTGATGCAGATGCAGATACTTTGCTTTATCAGGGACTGATAAAGCAAAAGGACATTTTGCCTGATTCCAGAGATGCCTGTTTGTCCTTATCTGTGTTGGTGTGCGACACTCCTTCAGATGCTTTGTTTTTTTGTCCTGTTTGTAACTGTATATCTCTCCAGCAAGTACTCAGCCTTAACAGTGTGGGGCAACATGCCTGTATTGTATTGACTGTTTACTTTGCGTGTTTATGTGTGTGTGGTTCAATGGAATGGCGTTTATGAAACCTGCATTTATCCCGTTGCAGATAAAGGAAGCTCTCTTGTCTTCAGGCCCGCTGAGGCTGTCATACTTCCTGCAGCACATTTCTTTGGAGTTTGTCAGTTCCGGTATGGCGCGGCCTGCTGGGCCAAGCTGTCAGAACTAAATAGTCGGTCCTGTTGCTCGTCCTCACTGCTAGATGTATTTTTATTGTATCTGTTTATCAGTGTAGATTTTTGTTCCTCCGGCAAGGTGAGGAGCTGAGAGACAGGAATGTAATCTTTTGTGTTCATTGTCCTTTTATCAACAAGGTTATGCAATATCCAGCAACGCCAAATTTCATGGAACTTGTTGTTAATGAAATTACTTCATAGAGTTTTGTGTGCATGTTGATTCTATTTAAAACTTCAGAGGAATAAACTGGATTCTAATGCTGTTCCTTCCTGTCCAGCTACGTCTTTACTTAACCTTTCCTTCCAGAAGTCCATCATCAGTTTATGTACACAGACTCAACTTCAGTGCATCTGTGTACTGTTGAGGTCAGAGGTTTGCAAACACTCTGATAATCATCAATCTTATTGATTTAGGCTATTAATGATACATTTAAGCCATTTTCTTCCAAGGCAAAATTATTGTTGAGCCTATAAATTCAGTGATCACTGAAAATAAGATCTGGGTGCATAAGTTCATATATACTGTGGCATTCCTACAGAAAGGCCAAAATTTTACATACGAGCACAAAAATGCATACATTCCTGCAAATGTTTTGATCACAGCCCCTAAGAATGTTGCAAGAAATCAGATACTTTTGTAACCACCAACAAAGTCTTGGCCTTATTTTATTACCCTGGACCACTCTTCTTAGTAGATGTGGGAGCACCCACTTGCTTCATTTTAAGAATAAAGTATAATAAAATAAAGAAGGTTGAATGGGTTGCACCATTCAACCTAGCCAGCCCATTCAAGCTGGGTTCTCCAAAGCCCCGAGGTTAAGGGGGTTTGGAGTTATTGTGTAAATTTGACTCCTGAATGGTAGCAAGGGGAGATTAAAGGATTTCTCACACATGCATGAAAGAATCAAGGCAACGCTAAAGATAGGATTTTGATGAGGAAATAATATTATCATGGAAAGTAAAGCTAAAAAAGTCAATTTTAAATAATACTCCCCCTATAAATGGCACATATTAACAGCTATAAAATATTAAGTGGGCCTCGGGCTAAACATTACGTTTATGCTCAAATATCTACATACACTTCCACTAATGTTTCAATGTGTCAATCAGAGAAAATTCACCTTAAGTTCAAACTTGGGCACTTAGCTCTCATTTCTAAAATAAACTTTTGAAGTTTCCTTTATTATTAGTCCAGCATGAACAGTTGGCCACTCAGCCCGACTGTTTAGTGCAGTTGAAATGCATTCACTAAATGCGCCCAAAGTTAATATGAAATTCCTGCCAAAGATTAGTGCATGTAAAAGCCTGACCAAATTTCATTTTAAGTGAGAAAATGAACAAAAGGGAGTAGGGTTGGAGTGTATTTGCAGTGCATAACCCTGTAAAATGTACCAATGAGAAAAAAAAAAAATCCATATGTAGGGTTGTGTAGAAATGGGTAGCAGTTAAAATGAGATCCAGTAACAGTAATGTCTTTGACAAGGGAGTTGTAAAAACATCTATCGAAAATAACAGAAACATCTATTTACTGACATGTTTGTGGTTATTCTAAAATAACCCAGCTCTTAGCTATTAAAGTGGATAAAAGAAGCAGGGGGCAGCTCCCTGCTCGGCTCTGGCCTTTGATGTGAAGGAATGAGGCCGGCTCATGACTTTGTGGAGCCACACTTGGGGATTTTGTGCAGCCCACTAGACATCACTGATTTAATGCTGCTATATATCCTGCGCCATCACATCACTAAGATATAAAGTTGTCTAAACATGGATTTAAATGTTATTGGTAAACCATTCTGAGTTAACTGCCTTTTATGAACAATATAGGAATAATTTTCAAACTGATTTATGAGTATACGTCTGTGTTATTACTGCTAAGATTTTCATTTTCAGTTTTGAAATAATGAAAGAAGTCACATTTGCTTAATGATTAAACTGAATTATTATATTTTTACTTCATACAGGTGCAAACCCACCTTGAAAATCCAACAGACTATCACATCCGTCAGTCACGGAGACAACAAGTGAAAGAATATCTGTCAACCACCTATGCTAACAAACAGGTATTTGTTTGTTAAATGCTCTGCTGTACAGAATGTCTTGCAAAAGTATTGAGCGTTTTCACATGTAATTTACTGGTATGTAAATCAATAGAAAAACACAAAGTAGTATGTGCCTGTGAAGTGGAACCAAAGGAAAATGACAGTTTGTAATGACGTTTACTAATAACAACATGAAACGTATTGTGTGCATGAATTTATTTCTGTTTGAGTCAGTTACTTTAAGAACCACTTTTTACTTCAGTGATGGCACACAATGTCTTTTAGGTATTTCTCTACCAGATTTGCTCATGTAATTTAGGTTTTTTGTGTTGTTGGAAGGTGAGCCTCTGCCCTAATCTCTGGTCTTTGGAGCTTCAGATATGTTTTCTTCTAGGAATGCCCTGTAACCAGCTTTAGTTGTGAACCAGAAGAATCATAGTGAAAAAAAAGTAGCATGATGCTGCCGTGGGAATTGTGTGTTCAGTTCACCTTCACCTTTTCTTTCCTCTTTGTGTCTCCAGACGGTTCACGCAGTGGCAGGGATTATGCCACCGTCTCCTCCCACAAACATGGGGCCTGCGGGGGGTTCGGCATCCGCACCTCCACCGCTCCACTCCCCACACATGCGTAAGGAGCAGCTCATGTCTGGCAACAGTGCCCCCAACAGCCCCATGGCCATGCTCAACATTGGCTCTAGCCAAGAGAAGGAGGTAGGCGACTGCAAGCGTGCTGGGCAGACTGTGCAATAAACATAAACCCATAAACATTCGGTTCATGGTCTTCTTTTAATGCTCAGTTTGCAAGGACCCAACACAAATATATAACTTAATTATGCCAATATATAAAATTACGAGGGTTGAAAATTAGCCCAGAGAAGACATGATCTCCACTTTTTATGAAAGCATCATAATGTTTTAATTGTACTCTGGTGGGCAGGAGCAGCACTTTGCAAAGGAGCAGTAGGTGAGTTGGAAGAAAGTGGTGACTAACTGAGAGAGGCAATTAGTGGAATTTAAATGCTCCATAATGGCCTTCCTGCTGTAATTACAGCTTAACAAGTGACAGAGGAACAGCAGAACGTTGGGGCCTTTGAACCTGGGAGACTTTGACCAACACTCTGCCTTCAACTCTGCAATTCCTCTTTTTTTTCTTTCGAAGAGAAAAATTACTCAACGCTGCCGCAGAGAGTAAATGCTCTCATTTAGCTCTCTAAATGCTTTTAGGTGTTTTAAAATGGAAGAAAAAAGAAATAAAGAAAAATGGGCCAGTGCTTTTATTGGCTAAATATTTTAATATTATTTAGGGAAAATTTCTTCAAGAAGTAATAAACATGGACCTTTAAACTTATTTGATAGACTCAGCCTCGGTAATTTATTTCTGTATTGAAACTGGATCTACTGGTTTTCTGAATTGCTCTATTTTTTTTTCTTTTTTTGCAGATGGAGGAGGTTATTGATGACATTATAAGTATGCAGTCCAGTTACGACGACATTCAAGGATACATGGACCCTGTTCAGATGCCAAACACAGTGAGTAGAGAGAATCGTCCTTCTGAAAAGAAACAGATTTCTTCGTTTTCATTGTGTTTTATATGACGCCTGTACTTTGCATCCAGTTAACCTGGAGGTAAAAGACCGAGTGCATCACTGGCTCTGCAGGCTGTAGGGTTGAGGCTTTTTTGTTACTGGTCATTTTTAACTGCAGTTTGTGGTAGCATTTTTCTTTCGGCACATAATTTCATTATATATGACACAAAGTAAAATCTTTAACTATAACTGTTCTACGTTTTGTCTCAGTACAACCACAAACTTAAATTATTGGGATTTAATGTCACAGACGATCAGAAGTAGATGGAACAGATGAATGGTTTTACGGATTGTTTATAAGCAAATCATAAAATTTGCACATGCACTTTTATCTAAGCCCCTTTTCTATGATACCTCTAAATAAAATCCAGAGCTACCAACTAATTAGTAAATTAATGAGAAATTAATCTCAGTTTGAATGTTGCTTTTTGATGTTGACAAAATGGAAAGCTTTTGAAAATTCACCCAAGATGCTGCATATAGCAGGAACACTGACCATCACTCCGAACAAGCAGAGGCATCTCTTTGCTGTAGTAGTATTTCAGTTTAACAGGAAAAGGTAAAGTGATCAAAGTTAATGATGATGATAAAGTCCGTTAAATACAAGGTAGTCTTGAAAGAAAACAGGTGAAAGAATGGCCTAGTCAAGGACTAGATCCTAAATCTAATTGATTGTTTGTGACAAGAGTCGATGTATTCAAGCCAGTCTGTCAAAGCTTGAACTATTTCCAAAGAGGAATTGGCTAAAATATGCAACTGTGTTATGTTACAAAAGGAGAAAGCATTTCAAATGTTTATAGTTTTGGGTTGTGTGGTATTTATCTCAGAACTGTAGTAGACTAGTATGAGCCTCTTTTTGAGTAGAACGTGAATTCTTCAAATAATGCAGGTTGAAACTATGGACTGAGTGACATTTTTTTAAACCATATTTTACTACTTTCAGTCCCTTTTAAGCCTCCTTGGATGAATAAAAAAGAAAACAATATTATTTAGACTACATAATTGATGTTTCTTTATTTGGAATTTCATTGTTGTTCTCAACTTTTAAGTAAAAAAAATCATATAGTTAAATATTGCAAGTCAGTTGTTGGTATAAAGAGTTTGAACTCTTATGTTTCAATAATTACCATATTAGTGATGTTTGCTATTATTTGACATTATTAGGCATTTCTATTAATTAAAGCACAGTATGTTAATCCACTGAATGTTCCTCCAAAGCCATTTTTTCCACTCAGCATGTACCCACAGCGTCCAATCAGTTATATCTTCATGCAGCCATAAACAAAAACACATAGACAAACAAAGTGAAGTGCACGAAACAAAGTGTATAATTGGCTTAAATACTAAACATTCCATCCGCAAACCGTGTTGGACATAGTTAGGAATAGCCGGGAAGACATGCCGGGACGAGGACTGTGCTGCGCTTTGTGTCCGAGGAAGCAAACTCAGAAAATTAACAATTAAGCCGCCACCAGTTAGAGTTCAACTTGTTTACAAGACATTCGGAGAGAGGGAGGTGGAGGAAAGAAAAAATGGGAGCGAGGGGGTGTATACGGGTGGGGGCGATGAGGACAATTTATGCTGGAGGCAAAACGGAGTGAAAGTCCAGTTGGGGGAAAGTTCACTCCTGTTTGGTGGAGAACGGAGGTAGAAGACGAACCGGAGCGCCGCCGCTGAGGTCATTCTCTCAACAGCAGTAGCTGCAGCGGAGGCGGGTGCCACAAAACTCTGCATGTGCTGCCCGAGCCCAGGAGAGAAAAAGAAAGCCCGCTCGGCCTTTGTAAGCAAGGGAGTGTAGGATGAAGGAGATGAACAAGACGTATGCCATTGTGGAAGTTATTGAAGGAGAACAGATTCAGCTGGTAAGATAAAAAGCTCTTTGGCTGCTTGGACATGACTTTGATTTAGATCGGAGGCAGTGGATTGTCCTTTTCTTTATGCTGTGTGTTAAGAGTTTGAACTTCTGTCAGTTTTTTTTTACATAAGCATATTATTGGATGCTTTTCCTGCACTTCAGATTCTCCTCATTCCATTTCATATTGTTGGATTTTACATCTCAATTAGAGCTTAAATCAAAGCAGGCTCTGATACTATGTGTGTTCAACCTCACTGACTGCTGTGTGGAGACAGAAACCCACATATACAGCTGTGCCTTTAACTCCCACCGCCCTGTGTGGTTGATTGGTTTAATCACTTAAACTTTGTCTTTGTGCATGAGTCTGTACTGCACTGCGTGATAAGATTGGTCAGCACAAACCAATCAATCTCAGTGTTTCAAAAGATGGCTGTAGAAGAACTGCATATCAGTGTGTTAACTGTGCTGGATAGATTCCAGCTTACCCGGCCTCTCTTTATTCCCTTTAATGTCAGCACAGTGAGTAAAACTCACCTGCTAATCCTGACGGGGATTAAGACAGCAAATTCCTTGGAATTCTTGGAATCTTTTAAACTTTAGCAAAAGCCGGGGACCCCACTGAATGCCAGGCACAGACAGAGTGTTTTGAAAGTCTTCAAGCAGACGGTGGCACTGGCTCAGAATTAGCCGCTAATTAGACGAGCAGACTCTTGGGATTTCCGATCAGAATGTGTGAAGTGAAGTGCAGAAGCTCGGAGGAACAGGCTGAGACGGAGCGTGCGTTTTCTGCTATCTACTGTCAGCAGAAATAATGTCAATATGACCGGTGGAAATAAAAGTTTTTTATTGGGATTTTATCGTGTATCATGATGCACTAATTTGTTTCAAACATTAACCTGAAAAAACATCTGATTTCCCTATAAATGAATAGCCACACTGTTGGATGTCTAATTTCATTAGTTAATAATCAATTTATGCTTTTTTTAAAGCCATTTTTCTCTCCTTCACAGCTCAACTTTCTAATAATTTGAAGCTTTTTGTTTATGTTAGTATTGAAATCTTTCAGCATTGTTGCAAAACTTCAGAAATGCCTCTTCATGTTTTTGTCAGTGAATGTGTTTAATCCTCCAGGTCACACAGTAGTTTACAGATTAAGTTATCTTTCTCCTTGAGCTCTTTATCTGTCAGGTCTCATTAGTAGGGACACATTCGTCCCGACTGCTTTATAGGGCAGTTTGACACGGCTCCTTGACGGGTCCAAAACTCATTGACTCCTTGACCTGCACAATTAAAAAGAAATGAGTTCTTTTTAATAGTCTTCACCGAGTTAAATCTCTGTTGTTATATAGCGTCTAAAGTGCAAGATTTTGGAGTTTGGAGCACTTCACGGGTGTAAATTCAGGAGCAGGAGAAGGCAGAGGAGGGAATCCAACCATAAAGACCGATAAGGTTGATAAGACGATTGTCAATCATTGCTGTGCATTTGGCAAGCTGTGATGTTATTGCATTATCTGCTGCTGTTTGCGCTTTACAGCACAATAAACACGAACACTGACTCCATAAAAGTATTTTACAAGTTGCAAGAAGCTCTGAAAAATTTCTTGGTAAGGAATAACATATTTAAGCTGAAGTGCAGACAGATGAGATTATACTTTATAGGGTACTCTTTATGTTGTACTTTGTAAAATTTAATCTGATTGTAATTTTACACTATAACACAAACATAAATTTAAATAATAGCATCATTTCATGTTTGACCCTAAACATTTTTGCTTTTTTAGAATAGGGAACAGCAAGGGGGCTTGTTTATAAAAATAAAAAGACTGAGCCATTACTTGCGTTGATGCAATAAAATAGTTATTTTTCAAATGCTTAAAGTTCAGTCTGTATTTAGACATGTGTTCTAAACTACAGTGTATCTCTTTTTGTTTGTGCTCCCCTTACTCCAAGCTCCCGCTTTCCAGCAGCCACCTAGACGTCTACACAGGTCCTGGGATGAAGGCGCCGACTATCGGAATGACAAGCAACTCCTGTCCCGCCAACCTGACCATCAAGCGGGAACTGTCAGGTGCGAACAACTGAGTTTTGAAACATTTCATTCTTTGCAGATGATGTAAACGTTGCTACTCTAAGAACTACAGTGACTCTTCCTGGTAATCTGTGACATCTTTGTTGTGCCACTTTGACAGCTTTTAGTTGATTATTTTTTGTTTTTGCAAAGACACAGAAGCCCGTGCGCTGGCTAAGGAGAGACAAAAGAAAGACAACCACAATCTAAGTAAGTATCTTTGCAGTGGACGCATTCACAGTGACAAATATGCACAACATAGTTGGCCTCATGCATAGTTTGCTACAGCTTTATGCTGATTTAGCTGACATAGTGTAACAAGTGGGTGGATAGTTAACTTGATCATTTCTGCTGTTCTAGCACTTAAGAGTAATTGCCTGTGACTGTGACTTTGTGTGCATTTGTGCTACTTCTTATTGTTAATCTCCAAAATGCAAAAATGTTTTTCTGTTTCTGTCTCTTTGGTCTTCAATAGTTGAAAGGAGGAGAAGATTCAACATTAATGATCGAATCAAAGAGCTGGGCACCATGATTCCCAAAACCAACGACCTGTGAGTGTCTTTCAGTTTGCTTTGTTTACAGGAACACCTCAATAAATTACAATATTATCAAAAGTTAAATTCATATCACATTTATTGTGTACATTCCAAGCATTTACTTTAGTTGGTTTTGATCATTCTTCCTCTCAGTTAATTGAAACCCAAAGTTCTTCTGAAATTCAACATATTACACAAGACCAATAAAAAGGGATTCTTCATGCAGGGATGTTATCTTATGACCATGTTATGGCCTAAGCAGTCATTGACAAGCATACTGACTTTATACAACATAGTTACCAACGCCCTCCTTTGGGTGGGAGTAAGCTACAGATGGTCAGTACTGAAGAAGGAACCTATTAATGAAGAAATCAAGAGAAGGGAAAAAGTGTATTAGAAAAAAAGAAACAGCAAGGACAACTGCAGTCTTGCGAGGAACCTGAATCAAAGCTTGTTTAGGAAGAGAAAGACAAATCTAAGGGCATGAACTGCAGCAGGAGTGAGAGCTTTGAGAGCTACAACAACAGATCTCTTATATGTTTCATTTTTTAGTTGAATTACTGAAATAAGCTATGTTTTTAATGATATTCATTGGGTGTCAACTGATCCAAAGGACATATGAGTAACTGGCTGTGTGTACATTCCTCTGTTTGTAGTGATGTACGTTGGAACAAAGGTACTATATTGCGCGCATCTGTAGATTATATCAAACGCATGCAGAAAGATGTGCAGAGATCCAGAGAGGTGGAAAATAACTTCAAAAGGATGGAGGTGGCCAACAAACAGCTTTTGCTACGTATTCAGGTAAAACACTTAACAGAAATACATAAACAAGAAATCAATGCAGACAATATTTGGGATGACGTTTGATTTTGATGTCGACAGGAGCTGGAGATGCAAGCTCGACTACATGGCCTGCCAAGCACCTCCCCATCTGCGCTAAACCCCGGTGAAATGATGCCTTCTTACATAAAACAAGAGACCAGCCCAGAGCAGAACTTTTCTCATGCCCAGGCACAAGCCCTCCACCAGTCCCAGCACATACCCCACAACCAGGCTCAGCCCCAGCAGCACCACTTCCTCCCCCAGACCCACCTCCATCCTCAGAGCCAGCTCCAGCCTCAGGCCCGGCAGCTGCCACCGCTCCCACAGCATCTGCCGCCCCAGCAGCCCATCCAGTACCCAGCCGTGGGCAGCTCCCAGCCCTTTGACTTTGTTCAGTCACTGGACCTGTGCGATGGGATTCACGGATTCTCAGACGGCATGTCGGGGCTGGGTGACCTAGGCGGACTGGACGTCCAAGGGAGGAGAGGCGAGCTGGGCTTCTTGATGATGGACGAGCCTTTGTCCCCCATGGGTGGAGACCCGCTGCTGTCTGCCATGTCCCCCGAGGCGTCTGTCGACTCTAGCCGCAGATCCAGCTTTAGCATAGAGGATGGAGACATCATGTAGAAATGTAGCGTGGTTGCAGTAAAACTGTAAACAGCATCAAACAAAATAAGAAAACCCCAAAAATACACACAATACACAAAAAAGAATCAATCAATATTCACCAGGTCCCAAAATCACACACTTTGTGGTACAGTTATCTCTCTTTAACGGTACAGTCCAAACCAGAGGGTACTCCAGTCTCACAGAAGTTGTTAGTCAGAGCCGGCCCAAGGCAAAAACAAACTCAGCTGTTGCTTGGGGCCTCCAGGCCGTTTAAGTATATGGATTCTTAAACGGAATATTGATCTCAAATCCTCAAAATGTTCTTGACTCATTTAGAAAGTCAAGAAACTCGACATGTGCACTATTTGTTATAATTTATTCATAGTTGCATCATTATGTTATTGATCTCAATTTAATGTCAGTAGTTAAATGCTGCTAGCTGCTGCTTATGTCTGTGCCAGAGTCACATTTTAAGGACAATATCACTATTTAATACATAAATTACAATTATGCCTCTTTAGTCATCAAGAGCCAAAAGTGCCACAATTCAATATGGCAATAAGTTGCACCATATAATAGATCATTTAAGTAAAACAAAATAAATCATATGAATTAATTAAATATCAAAACAATTTAGAAACAACGGTATTTTAAAGTTTGTATACATTTTATGTCAAAAGCATATATAATGCAAGTATTTATTTTATTCCATTTTACTTTGAGGCAGCACGTGGAAATTATATTTATCCGTTACCTCTGGCATCCAAGATTTTACTTAACTCACATGCCTCTATTGGAACTATTTAAGGTGAATTGGAGTGGGGTCCAAATCAGACCAAAGACTACTTTGGGCCGGCTCTGTTTAGATTAAATACTTTTGCACACACACTCAAGTGCCTGCAAGTTGATCTGCATGGCTCGAAGCTTTACCTGCCAGGCTGAGCATTTCCAGTATTGAACCAACACACAGATCACTTGTGCAGCACATTTAGCCTTATTTCCAGCAGGGTGACTCTGAATCCTATCTCAGCAGAGGACAACACCAGCAGTTAATTAGATTGACGGTATCGGATGCGAGAGCAAATGGGGGCATTGTCTCACGTGAACGTCATTTGCCCCCTTCCCCCCCGCACACCTCTTTTAATAACCGTAAACGATTCGGTGTATGATAGCTAATAAAATGGAAATAGCTTTATGGCCCTGCATACATAATTCATTCTGAAGGGGATACAGTCTTCTGACATAGCTGCTCTCCTCACTTTGCTTTTCCACATTTTGCTTTGGCCACACTTGTTAGGTGTTGATAAAGATCTGAGTTGGCCTGATAAATTGGAGGGATCTCTGGAGGAGTTCACATCTTATGATTCAGTTAAAAACCTTACTCAGTGGGTGGGTGGAAGAAGTCTTCAATAAACTCTTGGTCCTGCATGCTTTCAGCACAGCTTGCTAAAGTGAGTGGCTGCCATTAGTACGTTTACCTGCTGTTTTGATTTGACTTGAAACATATCCTAAAGCAGTTTCAGTTAATTGTGTACAGATGAAACTTACAGCTTCATAAAACATAAAATTTTATGTGCAGTGTTTCAAATCCTTTCTTTTTTTTCTTTTTTTCTTTTAACTGACTGCACATCTTGCTTGAGGTGCAAACGCCATAATCACAGACGGTGTAACGATGACCATTATAGGGAGCAAAGTCCAGTCAAGGACTTGATGGAAAACCTGATTAAAATTCTTGGGAGAGGATCCAGTTAGGACCTTCACTCAGACACTGTCAAGTTATGTGGAGTGAAGTAATGAAATTCTTTGGATGATCTGAAAGACTTAACATTAATTTATGGGAAATTTGTCAAAAATACTCAGGTGTTGTAACAAAATGCAAAAAAAAAAAAAAAAAAAAAAAAAAAGCAGCATTTGTTTTGATCACTCAGTTGTGTCTGAGCCATGATCCACATCCATGTGTGCCTTTTCATTTACTCTTCTGCCTCTTTTTACAGCATGTTTTTATACATTTTGGGCCATACACAGCTAAGATTTTATAATCGTATTCAACCAGGCCTTTCTTCTGTCTGCTTCAGCTGAACTATGCAATTTGCAGGGGATAAACATAATTTTATGTATGGACTTTTTAAGGGTTTGTGAATGAGATCCACAAGAAAGGCAGGTAAAGTTAGGCTTTAATGAAGGAGGAATATGAAAGTTTGGTCTTGCCTCTGTAACAGTTTTGTAAGCACAGAATCAGAACATACAGTTAGGGCCAGAAATATTTGGACAGTAACACAATATTTGTGAGTTGGGCTCTGCATGTCACCGCATTGGATTTGAAATGAAACCTCTACAACAGAATTCAAGTGCAGATTGTAACGTTTAATTTAAAGGGTTGAACAAAAATATCTGATAGAAAATGTAGGAATTGTACACATTTGTTTACAAACACTCCACATTTTAGGAGCTCAAAAGTAATTGGACATATAAACATAACCCAAACAAAAAGTTTTTTCTCAATATTTTGTTGCGAATCCTTTGGAGGCAATCACTGCCTTAAGTCTGGAACCCATGGACATCACCAAACGCTGGGTTTCCTCCTTCTTAATGCTTTGCCAGGCCTTTACAGCCGCAGCCTTCAGGTCTTGCTTGTTAGTGGGTCTTTCCGTCTGAAGTCTGGATTTGAGCAAGTGAAATGCATGCTCAATTGGTTAAGATCTGGTGATTGACTTGGCCATTGCAGAATATTCCACCTTTTTGCTCTCATGAACTCCTGGGTAGCTTTGGCTGTATGCTTGGGGTCATTATCCATCTGTACTGTGAAGCGCCGTCCGATCAACTTTGCAGCATTTGGCTGAATCTGGGCTGACAGTATATCCCGGTACACTTCAGAATTCATCCGGCTACTCTTGTCTGCTGTTATGTCATCAATAAACACAAGTCACCCAGTGCCATTGAAAGCCATGCATGCCCATGCCATCACGTTGCCTCCACCATGTTTTACAGAGGATGTGGTGTGCCTTGGATCATGTGCCGTTCCCTTTCTTCTCCAAACTTTTTTCTTCCCATCATTCTGGTACAGGTTGATCTTTGTCTCATCTGTCCATAGAATACTTTTCCAGAACTGGGCTGGCTTCTTGAGGTGTTTTTGGGCAAATTTAACTCTGGCCTGTCTATTTTTGGAATTGATGAATGGTTTGCATCTACATGTGAACCCTTTGTATTGCTTTCATGGAGTCTTCTCTTTACTGTTGACTTAGAGACAGATACACCTACTTCCCTGTTCTGGACCTCAGTTGATGTTGTGAAACGGGTTCTTCTTCACCAAAGAAAGTATGCGGCGATCATCCACCACTGTTGTCTTCCGTGGACGCCCAGGCCTTTTTGAGTTCCCAAGCTCACCAGTCAATTCCTTTTTCCTCAGAATGTACCAGACTGTTGATTTTGCTACTCCAAGCATGTCTGCTATCTCTCTGATGGATTTTTTCCTTTTTTTCAGCCTCAGGATGTTCTGCTTCACCTCAATTGAGAGATCCTTTGACCGCATGTTGTCTGGTCACAGCAACAGCTTCCAAATGCAAAACCACACCTGGAAACAACCCCAGACCTTTTAACTACTTACTTGATTACAGGTTAACGAGGGAAAGGCCTTTTGAGTTACTTGCAGCCTTTGGAGTCCATAGTCCAATTACCTTTGGTCCCTTGAAAAAGAGGAGGCTCTGCATTACAGAGCTATGATTCCTAAACCCTTTCTCCGATTTGGATGTGGAAACTCTCATATTGCAGCTGGGAGTGTGCACTTTCAGCCATATTATATATAAATTGTATTTCTGAACATATTTTTGTCAACAGCTAAAATAACAAAACCTGTGTCACTGTCCAAATATTTCTGGCCCTAACTGTATGCACACAAACACACTCTTTACAGAAAAGTGTAAAGATTATAATGCGGTATAGTCTACATGTTCACACAGACACAGACGGCTGTAGGGGTGAACCTCACGCCGCCTTGAGGTGATTCATCACTCCAGGTGTCATGTTAACGGTTGAAGCAGGTTGAGTCTGTTGTGTCTCTGCTTGGGTTTGACTTTTATTTGTTGTCGCTTTTGATCAGTTAAGTTAGACAAAACACAAAATAAATAAAAGAACATTGATAATGATTTTTTTTTTATGTTGACCTGTGTTCTTTATTTTAGAGTTTGTTGTTTATTTTATCTGTTGAAGCACTGGAATCTCTACTATTGCTTAGACTTTGTAAAAAATATATTTCAGATGTCATATACCACTATGCCACTTAAATGTATTTTATTTGTATTTGTTGTTTTAGTTCTATTTCAATTTTATTCCAAGTACCTGCTCTTCTCAGAGCCAGTTTGGGAAACTACATTATCAAGTGTTCCACAAAAAAAAAAAAAAAAAGTTAATGGTTTATAAACTTCTGAATTTCAAATAATTTTAAAGGTGATAAGATTATGTACATTTGGGACATGATTTTTTTAAAAAAAAATTTATATGATTCAAATTATTTGTTTTGGTCTGCTTTAAATTTTACTTTTGGCAGATTGAGATTAAACATGATTCTGTGATTTAACTGAAATCTAATGACTTATTTAATGAATGTAAAGTTTTGGGTGGTTCTGGTTGAACTGGAAAAACAGAACAAAACAACAAAACATCTGTGACTCCATGAAATCCAAGATTTCTTTGTGTCTCTGGGTTTTTTTATCGCTGTTTCTGCATCCACTGTTGTCCAGAAAAGGGCTTTTTTTTATTCTACACTTGAGTTGCACAGTCACCCGGATCACACGCCAAAGAGCTCATGAGCCTCGTTTGTTATTTGATTGAAATTGCTCTGCAGAGCAACCCAACAGAGAAATGTGTTTCTACAAAAAGTATAAAACGTTTTTCCAGAATCCATCCTCTGAGTTTTGATTTGTTTGGAGGTTTTTTTTCCCAACTTTTAAGACGTTCTGTAATTCAAAAGACACAACATTGAAAGATGGAGTGTCTTCAGTCCAACATATGTTAGTCCTTGTCCTTTTTATACAGTGAGTTGCAAAAGTGATCACACCCATTAAATTAAGAAAAGGAACAAAATCAAAGACCAACTAGTGTATTTTATTGGGAATTTCTTACATAAAGTAATGTGTATATATATATATATATATATATATATATATATATATATATATATATATATATATATATATATAAAGTTGTACATTAAATTTTAAAAATTATACATGGTTTTTAATTATTTTTTACAAGTGATTATGTAAAACGTACATATGCACTTAGCTCCTCTCAAAGTCAATAATTTGCTGCAACTACAGCTGAAAGTGTTTTGCATCTACAACATAAAATTTTTGCCCATACGTCTTTGCTAAACAGCTCTATCTCTTATCCTTATCTGTCAATATTATTTTTCACACATTCCCACTCTCAGGTGTATTTGAGTCATTCTAGCTCATATAGATGAATTACTCTACTGCAGCTACAAAGTAATCTCGTGTTTTGAAATCTTCATTTAAAACCTTTGCCTTTCTCTAAGAAAAAAACCAAGAGGGTGGAATAAATGTAAATATTTGTAAGTTACACTGACAAAAAAGAGTGAGTCTTTTTTTTCAATAGTACAAGAATGTAAATCAGTCAAAAAACTCTCATAAATGAGAACATTTCTTCAAATTTGGGGTGAAATACTTTAAAACGTCTTAGCTCCACACTACCCATTGCAATCTTTTACCAATAAAGTGAACAAGTTTCAGCTATAAATCCTAGCATTTGTGTTCATTGTATTTTCTGCTAGAGATCTTAGTTTCTCTACATATGATGCTACATAGTTTGTCCAACAGAGGGCATCAGAGCTTTACAATAAGGAACGCCATCCAGTTTCCTCCTTGTGTTTTCTGACAGCTACTTCCACAGCAGTCACAGAAAGGCCCGAGTCGATGTGTAATTAACCTTTTTTAATGTAACACTCAATTGGCTAATCAGATTCTTAGATATTCTCAATGGAAAGAAGGGCATGAATTGGAAGAGTCATATTCAAATGTTGCTGTTTTAAATCAAGCACCGCAACACCCCAGACCAATCTAAACAAGAAAGCGCCCAGTTTTTTGACAATATATATGTTGTGCTTATATCAGGTCAAGTTTAAATACTTGCTATCTTCTGTAGTTCGCCCATTATAACCTCTCCTGCAGCTCGTTCCATCATCTCCTGATGTATTAGTCGGCCGCTGCTTTGGGATGATCCATATACCGTCTGACTGCCTTTCTTAAGTTAAATCAGGGTAATCTTTTCTCTCATCCACACACACACACGCACGCGTTCCCTGATAGCGAGGAGCACGCTGGAGTGCAGTGATGGTGTCTGCAGCCCATCCACAGTCCTATTCTCCAGGGTCTTTATGATGCTAATGTACTTCCCGCTCTAATAAATCCCTGTAGAGCTGCAAAGAGTAGATCTTATGGCTCACTCTGATCGCCACCTTTTCGCCCATCTTCCCTCCTCCAACGACACACACACACACACACACACACACACACACACACACACACACACACACACACACACACACACACACACACACATGCGCCGCTACAGAAATGCCTGCCTTGCACTTCTACTAACACTTGGTTGGCTGTTTAGCGAGAGGGAAAGAGGGGAAGGGTCGAGACAAATCAAACATGAAGGGGCAATTTAAGAAAAGTTGGCTCAGGAAAGCAGGCTCTGGCTTTGGCTGAGTGCGAGGATCCTAGAAAGAGAGAGGAGACGCTTTGAGGAGTAGTTACTCGTGGCTTCCTTTTTCTATATGGAAGGAGCCTTTTCTGAAGCGAGCACCTCACCGCCCCAGAAAGGCATGAGGAAGAGGGAAATGATGAAATGAAGTTCAACAAGGAGTGAACAAGGTGCTTCATTCACAGCCGAAACCTCAAATGGATGGAGGCAGAATGAAACTTTATCCTCCGCTCTGACCAATACCTTCCTTTTCATCCTTCTTCTTCCTTCCCAACATGTCGCTCTCCAGCAGCCCCCTCCCTGCATTGCTGCTGGGGCTTGGTGTGTGTGTGTGTGCGTGTGTGTGAGTCCTCTCTGTATCTCTTGGGAGCAGTGTGTCACTCAGCTCGAAGCCCACGGAAGAGAGGTGAAAGAGGGCTGATTGAGCTAATTTAGCCCCTGGATGGGAGAGCAGGAAAGGCCTCACCCTCTGCTAATAGACAGACATCAAAATGGAGATGAGGAGGAAGAGGAAGGGGAGGGAGAGAGGGACTATAAAACGGAGAAGACTTTTTGATGGATTTATATCTTCTTTTTTTGTCCAAGGCGGCTGAGGAGAAAACTTTTATGAACACAGAGTGACATTGTGAAGTTGGTAAAGGTTTATGTGAGGTGCCAGAAATTAAAACATGCTCATAATACTTATTGATCCGTCCCCCTCTATTAAGATGCCCTCAATCACGTTCTTTGGGTGTAATTTCTCCTGACTGGGGCTGGCGAA